CTCGTGGCTGCGGCAGCCACTCGTGGAAATGACTAAAAAGTCCGATCTGTCCACGCGTACAATTAATCCCTATTGTTTCTCGAACAGATCGATTTCATATACTAATTGCTATCATAATTTCAACCCGTGTGGTATTTTTGAGAAAATAACGTCATTTTCTCCAATTCTAAAGCAAGACTTGGAACAAGGAAAATTAATGGCGGCCTTAAATTCTAATAAAGGTCCAAAAAAACCTGAGTTGTAATGTTCGCAATAGATTGAAATTTGCCAAGATATTTAGGAAAGACCTATTGTGTACGAAAATGTAAAAAAGGGTTATCGAGAATTTGACCGTAGGGGCGCTTTAACGACAATTATTAAAGAAGTAAGCTCAACGTAAACTGGTTGTCTTGGGCTAAGGATTCGTGACTACTTATTGCTTGTAACTTGATTTGTTGTAACCTATTGATTGGCATATCATAAACTACCAACAGTTTGTATTCTATACAGGTATACCTTTATAAACTTGCAAAAATGTTAATTATACTGAACCGGGTGTGTAGAACTAAAACTACGAGCTTCGTGATTCGTTCAGGAGGTTTCGTAGAAGACTTCGACCTCGTCTGGTCGGAAGTGGAAATTACCCGCCAGGAATGATTGTGTTAAGGGGGATGTATAGCTGTCGCCAGTTGGCGGGCTGTAGGTGTGTCCAAGTTTTGAGTACGAGTTGTTGTTTGACGCAGCGTTGTCGGCAATGTAAATATCGTGTCCTCCTCCAAATGTTGGTCCATAGGAAGAGCAGCTGTAGATGGAATACCATCCAACACCTGGCAGGTCTGATCTCTGATCTAGTTTTAGTGGTTGCCAGTCAGGCTTGTTAACCAATGAGAAGAGAAAGGCCGCTGAATCGTGCGAAAACTCACAACCACCTTATTAAAAATAAACAATGGGGAAAGAGTCAAATATTTATCATGTTAACTTCTGCTGAGACCATATCCTTCTGACATATTATGGTTTGTGTGATTGGTTCGCAAAGTTTTGCTACCTTTTCTATTGTCATTTCGTACAGTAATAATCCTATGGTCTCTTGTTGCTATATCAATAAAACTTGCCCCATTTTTTGTAATAACTTGAGCTCGCGGTGGCGTAAACCTGGTGGAGGAATGGAAACCATTGTCCCGATTTCGGACTAAAATGTGGTTCACCATACATTCTGTCATAACTGACACAAAAAAATCTATTTATTTCCGCTAGTCCTCCAAATCCAGTGATCTCAGCTTTAGCTTCCCAAGAATTTCCAAGAATTTCTTTCCTAAACTTTTCCCGTCACACTGCGCAATGAATGACGTCATAAAGTTAAAAACGTATACTCTAACGACTAAGATGGCCTCTGCTATAAGCCTGGTGGTTTTTTGGAGTTCTGAACGCCCTATAACAAATTGTTGTCATTGTATATATTTCTTATAATAAAAGTTGACAGTTACTTGTGATAATTCATTGTTCGTGACTAGCCTAGATCTGACGCAGCGCTCTCGGTTCATCCCGGCCAAGAGACTCATGAGAGACCTTTCTACTAAACAAACTCCTTGGGCATTGCGCCCAAAGTCCCGTTCGCTAACGAAATGATGATAGCAATCTCGCCTTATATCGCGTAAAAATCCCGACCGCACAGACTTACAAGTAAAAAATGACAATAAAAGTTGACGGTTACCTGTGATAATACCTTTTCAATGTAATACTTTTTATTGTGAAACAAATAAATTATGATGACGATGATGACGATGATGATGATGATGATTTCCCGTCAAGCTTTAGCACTCAAAGCAGGCAAAGACTTATCGATTTAAATTCGTTGCAACAGTTTTACACAAACACCAACTTGTGATTTAATTGGACCAAGTCTGATTTTAGCCAAGATTTCCTTTAAGCCGACAGGCAGCAAGTAATACACCTCAGAAGTAAAGTAACCAGTATTATAATAAGTGGTATTTTGGTTTCCTGAATCATATAAGCCATTGCGCAGTATGATCACCGCCGACTCGCAGCTAGTGCTTGGATCGCCTGTGTTAAGATAAAATAGCTCAGGTCACTTACTGCCCGATTCAGTGCCCCATGTCTGACTTGTGTATCCTCCAAAGATATATTTCCCAACACGGATGATTGTGACTGATGGACCTTTGCCGTCACAGTTTGAATGGAAGGTATTGGAAGACCAGCCATTGATAGTTGCCCGGTAGCAACGATTCCAGTAAGATGATAGATTAATTACAGGCTTTAACCATTTATCTAGCCAAGTCAAGAAAGTCTGGTCGTTTCCTACAATACTTGAGTAGTTAAGACCCGCTGCAAAAAATAAAATATAAGAACATTCCTTTAAGTCATTTTCAACTAGGAAATGTTATAATTAGCTTCTCGGTCAAAGTTGGTTTTGCTACCAATTAATGCTCTTATCTTCATCAGTCATAAAGTGACCATCCTCACTTGCACCGTAAATGCGATGCTGCCCAGAGGTGTATCTTCTGTCCTGCACAAAACAGCGGAAGAAATGTTTTATATGTGGTCGTTAAATCCCCGGCCAAAAAATCGCAACCTTTCAACGCAACACATTGCAACATTGTTGGCTCAACACTTGAGAAACCCGGCCAAACGATCGCAACATTTCAACGCAACTGACATATCGCAAAATTGTTGGGCGCAACATGTCATTAAAATGATCTCAATAGAAATGTGTTACATATCTTACTAGTCGGGTCAATTCCATCACCATAGAATCCATCTCTTCAATTGCACAGATAGCATCTCCGGTGTTTTCACAAGCAGCATTAAACATCAGAGTTGCACGATCATAGTACACTTGTTTTTATCTAATAATACCAATGATGAGAAATCTCACTCATCTGAAATACGTTTTACTGAGATATTGTGCTTACAGAACTTTTCGCTCTCATATAGTTTGTCTCCTTTGTTACCACTTTATCGCCTCATAAACAAACTTATCAAGGTCCTAAGGAATTACAGGCTTTTGAATAATAATTGCAACTACGAGGCACAAGATGTATTAAACTAAACTATGTTACAGGTAGTTACCAGTGTAGTTTATTCCATCTCCATGAAATCCGTCTTTGCACGGGCAGTTATAGGATCCCCGGGTGTTGTTACACACAGCATAAACATCACAGTTGTGTGTTCCTTTAGCACACTCGTCTATATCTAAAAGACAATACAAATAGTTCAACTCAGTGCTGGAATGTCCGAATAAACTTAGAGAATGTTAATTGAAATCTGATTTTGCATCGAAACATACGTAGTTTCTACTATGAAAGATACTTTTGTTTAGGAATCATTGACTATACACTGTTTCGATACAGTTTGCAGCTGTTTTGCATGCGGCGTGGCCAGACTGACTTTAAATGAAAATTTCATTTTGTATGAAATAATGATTTTACGTGCTTTCGCACGGCCTTTCCTCACTACTTCATAACATAATAGTCTGGAAGTAGAAACCTCACTTGTTTTTCAGGCATCTACTGTATTCGTTTGACTTCCAAACATTACCAACTCAATCTTGGGCAAGACCAACTGCTCGCATGTTTTTCCCACAAAATAAAGTTTCTCATATAGTTACCAGAGCAGTTTACTCCATTTCCATAAAATCCCTCTCGGCACGT